TCAAGGGTGGGGGGACCTTGAATTTTGAAGAATTTAAAAGTCATTAAAAGACACCACAGAAGTCGGGAAAGCTCATTTCCCGCCACCTAGGAATCAAAATTTTCCCGGGGAAGAACCACAGGACCTCCCCCCACCTTTCTTTTTGGGATTTATCGATTCATGGAAAAACTACGTATGCAACTTATTCAATCTTTTTTATGTATGTATACACACATAAGGCCTAATTTCTGTAATAACAATGGGAAAAAAATTATCTGACCGTTTTCAAGAGTGGAAAACCTTGAATTTTGAAGAACTTAATTACTTTTAAGTTTTAAGTTCTTCAAAATTCAAGGTGTTCCCCTCTTGAAAATTATTATAATGAATCAATGAACCCAGAGAAAGGGAGGTTCGAGTTCTTCTATGGAAAACGTTGATTTTTAAATGGTGGACAATGAGATTTCCCGACTTCTGAAGTATTTTTTAATGACTTTAATTTAAAAGACACCTCAGAAGTCGGGAAAGCTAATTTCCCGCCTTCAAGGAATCAAAATTTTCCTGGGGAAGAACCCCCGGACCCTCCTTCCTTTTTGGGATTCATCTCATGGAAAAAATCGTAAGCAACTACTAAATTTTTTTAAATGTATGTATACACACATAACAGGCCTATTTACCATAATGAGAAAGTTTACCTTACCGTTATCATGAGGGGGGAAACCTTGAATTTTGAAGAACAAAGTCATTAGACACCTAGCTCAAAAGTCGAATAAACTCCGCTTGGCTTGTTGGCCACTTTTTAAGAATTTTTACTATGGAAATTAATTTAGGGACCGATCGTTTGCGACGGTCCATTTGCCTTTTGTCGTAATAAATCACGACCGAATCACACTATATCTGATAATGTGTTACGTTATTGTGTACAGTGTATTGAGGGTGACGGTCAAGAGTGGGTGGGGCCTTATAGCTAATTCTTAGCCCAGTAGACACAAATAAATTTTCCGACACCAGCGGAAAAGGTCATTTCCCGCCATCTAGAAATCAAAATTTTCCCGGGGGAGGAATGTTGACCCCACCACCTAGATTTGATTCCAGATCTGCATGATTCATATTCCCATTCATCTTATAAGCAGTGGTGGCGGAACAGGCAGGAGGGCCAGGGGGCAGATAGTCCCCCTGGCGGTTTTTACCGGGCTGACCAAGCCGTCGTACTGGGCTGGGTAAGAAGAGAAAAGAAAGAGGAGAGAGGGAGGGAAAGAGAAAGAAGGGGAAAGAAAAAGAAAGGAAAAAGGAAAAGAAAAAGAGAAGAGAAAAATAAAGACAAGAATAAAAAGGAAGATATAATGAACAGATATCACAATACCCGGCCTGCAACCCCTTCTCCACTTCAAAAAATGTCCATATCGCATTTGATCTAAGCCGCCAGGTATTATCCGCAGTGGCGTAACCACCGGGGGACAAGGGGAAAATATCCATCTGTGGAAAATCTTTCCCCATTGAATGCCCTTTTCACCCGGGAAAGTGCCAGAAAATCTCAAATTTTAAATCCAATATTTTGTTGAGGTAGGCCATTTTAAATCGCATATTTTGTTGAGGTAGGCCAATTTCCTCTAAAAAATTGCACATTTTAGGGAGTTTTGATCAATTCCGACGAAATTAGAATTAAAAAAACAAAAATTTTTCGCATTTGTTAGGGTTAAAGCTTGTGCTTGCCCTCCTTTGCCTTCCAAGTTATTTAAACACCATAATAGTCCCAAACTTGAGAAAGAAAAATTAAGATAGATCGTTTTACCTAAAAGAAGGGCCTCAATGTGTTATGATGGTGAAAGAATAGGCCTATGATTGTAATAAATAAAACCACGATGAAAATGCTTATA